TTGTCAATAAACAATGTTGTATATCATAAGTGTCGTAATCTCGTTTAGTATCAAACTTCGTTTTCCTTCAACACATCGATTGCTATTCCTCTGATAGAAGTTATTACGTAATTATACACATACGTAGTTCATTCATGTTAACAGGTAAATGCAAAAAAGATGTCTTTGCCAAAAACTATTAAAAACAACAAAAATGTTTTTTAGTTTAAACTGGTATTTGAATATACGTATTAAATGTTTGTCCCAGTTAGTTTGTTCTTGGACTTTATGATTATACAGCTTCTGGTTATCTCTCTCAATATGGGCTTGGTCAATTTAACCGACCACGTAACTTCTTTGTACTCGTTTAAAGTCTTTATAGATTTGATACTACTAACTTTTAAGATAGTGTGTATATCTTCACGAAATTTGGCAGACTTTTAGTAAACACTAGAAGTCTTTTGTGCACACAAAATCTGATTTTTAATGAAGTATCTTTACTAATGATTTTTGTGAATATACCAAGTATTTCAACACTATTTGTTTTGAATAGTCCGTGTGTAAAGTGATTTTCATGTTAGATTAAAAATACATTTCTTCATTTAAAATTTTATTTATGTAATCTCTGAAACCTTTTAAATCCATTTCTAATGTTTGTTTTCAGTAAAACTTTATATTTTATCTGTTATTTCCTCTGCCCTAACTCTACATAAGGTTGGTCAATTTGACCAACCTCGTAACTACCAAAAAAATCGAAATAAATCTAAACTACCGCCTTTTTCTTTCTAGAATGACTTCAAATGAAGCGTGAAACTACATTCGTTTATCCTAAATAGCTTTAAGCTCGTACAATATACATCTATTAATAATTAAATGTTATTGTTTATTGCCCTTTAAACAGTGTCTTAACTACTATTCACACCATTATCGATTGTAAATCACTTGGGGAACGTGCAACTGACGTTACACTATTGAATTATGTTACCCACGAGCTGCCTGCTCGCATTAATGCCTCGTGAAACATTTTATTATTAATTATTTTACCTAATCTAACCTTAACTAATGTAAAGAGATCCACATTTTTACATTTTAATTACTTTTATTTTAATAAATAAAGAATAAACATGAAAAACAAGAAATATAGTACTTTTTTTGCTGTCGATGACACTTAACCCTACTTTTTATACTAATGGTAGTAGTTCACAAAATAACTTTTATTTAATGAAATAATGCACCAAAGAACATAGAATAATAAAATGTAAAAGCAGACAATTTCCTCTAACAATCACAATTTTTCTGGCTTTCTAACTATGCTACAACAGCCATTACAAATTCATTCAAGCTAGTCATTATTTTTCCTATGGGAAAGAAGCTCGTACTAAAAAAAGAAATTGAAATTCTCTGTTCAGAACTCAACGTAATATAATACCTCATTGGATAGATGAAAACCTTGGCTTTTTATTGGTTATAGATAATATAAAATTAAACGTAAGAGAAAACTATTAATAAATCGTGAAAGATAGGGTGTGGCAAGAGGTGTCTGATGTTTTATTTGATGGCTCTGTAACCAAACAAAATTGAAAGTTATAAAAATTATGATTTGTCTGAGCAATGACGATTTTATAGTGAGTAATTTACGTTAACTTTCATACTTATTGGAGGGGTGGTGAATAAAATAGGGAAAATGGGATGCCTACAGAAAATGTATCACCTTTCTCACACTAGAGGAAATTCAGGATTTTTTAAAGTATTGCCTTATAAAATTAAGAACATAAAACTTATATACTAGTAAAGTGTAAATTAGTAGCCACGATTTTATGCTATGCTAATTGGTATACCACAAACAGAAAGTAGTTTAATAAAATGTTGAATGTAAGCCACTAAAACTTTGTGACATGAGCAGTAAATGATGCCTGGGCAAATAGAGTTAAACTGTTATTGTTTTCAGCTGACGTTGTTACAAGGACGATTATTAATCAATCATTTTAAGCATGGCAATATTTAATAGTGGGGATTGACAAGGATTCCAAATAATTCACGTGCCGAAAACTCCCCTATCGAATTCCTAAGTGAAAACCCGACCATTCAAAGTATTGGTTACAATATATTATGCGCATATATACTAATAATACGCTAAAAAAAAGATCGCTAACATTTCCGGTATAATAATTCAAAAATTTCTAAAGCAGCAACTTTTTCGTCTACCACCTACCTGTCTGTCTGATCACGTCAGCGGGGCTAGTGCCTAGACGGCTTGGACTATTGCTACAATATTTCTCCAACTTACTTGACTGGTCTGTGAGTATCTACTTTTGATATTCCGATTAAAATCCATATATATACAGGTATAATATAAATAGTAAACACATAATACACATACTTAAATATATTTTCAACCCAATAGATGGTGCTACATGTCGATGGTTAAACATGCAACAGTTTCTTAAGGTAAAGTATGTACTTTATACATATATAAAAATAAACAAACAAGTGCATTAAAAATTATGAATTTTAAAATTAAGTTGGGATCCTACTATAAAAACAATGAATCAGGAATTAAAACCAAAAACACAAATTTATAAAATTTAATCCCTACTTTGGCAGCTTTATACATTCATCTGTAGGCCAAAGTAAGGATTAAATTTTATAAATTAGTGAATGTGGTTTTTATTGTTGTTTAATTACCTTTTATAGGAGGATCCTACCTTATTTTAAAATTCATAAATTTTAATACTCTTGTTAGAAATGGTCCAAACAGTTTAGGAATAAAATATAATATGTATCATACTGAATATGCAAAAAACTGTCACGAGATGGCAGCACCCTTTTATAGGGAAGAATAAATCGTTTAAAACTGAACATCTCGCTTCTTTCGACAAATAGATTTATTCGCATTATCCGTGGAGAGTTCGCTTTGCTTACACGAGCTGTTACCATCCCGAACTCCAGCTTTTGTAAGAAAATATGATAATAATTATTATTATTGAATTGCTGGTCTTAGCGTGACGTTTTCTTCTTAACATAGTTAAATCGATGAAGTATTAAAGAATAGACGAAAGTCAGTTTCATAATTATGAAGGTGGTTTATGTATTGTTATATATCTTCAGTAAAACGTGGTGTTGTGTTTTATAGTAGTAGGTGGTGTTATGTATCTATTAAAAAGTGATATGTCTGTGTGTTATTAAAACGTGGCGTTGTGTATCTTTAGTAAAACGGAGTTGTTATTTTTCGTGGTACGTGGTGTTGTGTTTCTTGAGTAGTACTTGGTGTAATGTGTCTTTAATAATACCTGTGTTGTGGTTCTTGGTAATAATTAGTGTTCTGTATAAGAAGTATATAAATATATATATAGAGAGAGAGATAGAGAGCTATAAACAAACAGGAATAGTATGTATATGAGTTATCAAACATGAGAAGAATATATATATAGAACAATAAAAGTATATATATATATATATTGAGTTATGACGCTATTATAACCTGTACTGTACCAAAAATGAAGTTTTTTCAAAAACTACCAACCTTTAAGTTTGTTACCAGGATAACAAGTAATAATCTCCATTCCTAATGGTCCAATTTATATGTAATATTCACTGAACGTTTATTTAGTGCTCTCACCAAACCAATATGTATTTACAAACCGTGGTGATGCTGAAAACGTGCCATTTCTTTAAAAAATAAATAAGTCGTTATGGTGTTCTACGACAAACGGTCACAAAATACTGTCTTTTATATGTGATAAAATAATATTTGGGAAGGAAGAAAGAGAAACTGAGCGTTACCGCAAATCTCACCTTTGATGACAAACACTCGAGATATCAAATATATAGATATACTATCTGGAGTACCCGTGCCCTGGACGGAAGTTATGTACATTCGTGATTAATAAAAAGTTATCTTAGAACATGAAACGTTACTTTCCTTGTATGTAATTGTAAAAAATGCAAATATGCCCATAAAAACACAAAATGTTAAACCAGAAATTTGCACGTATCTCCACATGGACCCAACAAACCTTCGTGCGAAATTTGGCAAAGATCCATTAACAGGGGGAGAAGTAGTGGTAGAAAACGCCCATAAAAGCTGAACATCTGTGTGTATTTCCCCATGAACCTAATGAATTTCCATACTTGCTCCTCAGTGGCACAGCGGTATATCTGCGGAGTTATACTGCTAGAACGGTATTTCGACATCCGTGGTGGGCAGAGCACACATAGCCCTTTGTGTAGCTTTGTGCTTAATAACAAACAACAACCTCCATGTTAAATTTCGTGAATATCCATCTACACTCTGCAAAGTAGTTACATGAACATAAAACAGACAGTACTATCATATCTATATAGATATATATATGTTTTTAATGACGTTACGAACAACGTCTTTTTTTTTTTTTCTTACGCTTTTAGTCTGTTGGTAGGCTTAATGAAGAGTGGCTGTTCTAAGCGTTACCAAACGTAAAAATATCAAAAACACCTACACTAAAAATATGAAGTTAAAGCATTTAAAATAATCTTTGAGCTTGTCTGACAAATAATGAAGAAAAATAAGTTAATAGCATCAATGCTACACATTCTTCAAATTCTATATCAATATAGTGGTGGGTAAAACACCGTCTTTAGAAGTTAAAGAAAGTACTTTTTGATCTTTGATACAACAGAAGCTAAAATTACTATTTATCTGTTGTATGTTCGAGAAATGTTACTATAGGGTTACATTGACTAAACAATAATTGTTGTTTTTTCTCAACATGTCTGAAAAACTTGCTTTAAACAAAATAATTTTGAAGGAAAATGCACCTTAAGAATAAAAGGATTCTGTCTTTGCTTTTTAGCAGATTTATTTTATTGTATTTTTCAAATACACAAGAAATAGCCCCAAATATCATAAACACAAAAGGAGTTGTGTGTCGTTTTCGTTCTAAAATGGGGGGGGGGGTTCCATTGCGGGTATCGTGTTATGCAACCGTCGCCAGGTTACTAATAGTTACAGAAAACCTCGGAAGCGCCCTCTTTTAATCTGTAAAAGAAATTGGCATCGAACATGTGTTGCCACTTGATTTTGCTGACAGTAGATATGCGAACGACACCAAAAGAGAAGGTGAACAGTGTTAAGACAAACGAAGAAGGACCCGATAAAGGATGGAGTTGGGTTGTCGCCTTCGCTGCATTTTTAGTAATGATGTCAACGTTGGGATTATTTCGTTCAGCTGGTGTGCTTTACGTCGCTTTCATCGACGCATTTCACGTTACCAGGGAAACTGCTGCTTGGCCATTTAGCCTGTGTTCAGCTGTGTTCAACATGACAGGTAAGGCAGTGGAAAGTTACCAGGAGTGACGACATCTTTCTACGTCATATGATTCTCTCTCTCACTTTCGTATATTTTTCAACCAATTTCTTCTTTGCACGACTATATATTACTGTCCTAATTATGATTAGCTCCAAATAAAATCATTACAAAACGCCTATATATAGTTTTTAATTACTTCATTTTTTGAAACATCTACCTTTTACAAAAAAGACAATAATGATAGTTTTACCTTTCCACTATGTTATACAGAGAACAGAAGAAATAATAATGATAGTTTTACCTTTCTACTAGGTTATACAGAGAACAGAAGAAATAATAATGATAGTTTTACCCTTCCGCTATGTTATACAAAGAACAGAAGAAATAATAATGATAGTTTCCCTTCCACTAGGTTATACAGAGAACAGAAGAAATAATAATGATAGTTTTACCCTTCCTCTATGTTATACAGAGAACAGAAGAAATAATAATGATAGTTTTACCTTTCCACTAGGTTATACAGAGAACAGAAGAAATAATAATGATAGTTTTACCTTTCCACTATGTTATACAGAGAACAGAAATATTAATAATGATAGTTTTACCTTTCCACTAGGTTATACAGAGAACAGAAGAATTAATAATGATAGTTTTAACCTTCTACTAAGTTACACAGAGAACAGAACAAATAATAAAGAAAATTAGGGCACGTTCTCGTTTTTCGTTGTTGCTAGGAAACTTGTGATTCGAATTATGTTGTTTTTTAAACGTCTCGTACCCGTAGAAGGCTTAGGTAATAGAGCCGAAAGCTTTGTGCATTAAAAAAACTAAAAAATGTGGTGATAGTCCAAATAAATTAGTTAACCAAAAAGATAGTTTCACCTTTCTACTCGGTTATACACGAAACTTAAAACAAAGATAATTTCATCCCGCTACTATATAGAGAACTATGCAAAGAACTGTGTAAGTACTTACGATAGGTCTGCCCCTCTATTTGCTGTACAGAGAAAATAATGATAGTTTTACCTTTCTACTAGGTTATACAAAAAACTGGAGAGGTACAAACGATAGATTGAGCCTTCTGATATAGAGTACAAGAGGCATTATTGATAGGTTTACTCTTCTACTAAATCGTTCTGTTACATACCAAATGTTTACTACCCTGTCTCACTGAGTGGGATGAACATCATAAGAACTTATGAAAGAATATAATAATATGGTAACCACCCTATTTCTGTTATAGTCAGTGCCTAAGAAAAGGTCGAGATTTCTCTATGTTAGATATGATGAAATTCCAGTTGTTCTTATTTGTTTTTTATATAATAACCTAAATGTAGTTGTATATTAAGTTACTTCACGTGTTCATGTTTGTCTCTTGAACATACGATAGTAATTTTTCTTCTATAAAACAGTGTTAACAGTTTCTTGTCACCACCCCCCGCCCCCCATGCAACCGGTACAGTCTTATCAATCATTATTATTTATGCTAATTGCTTAAGCTAATATCACGTGATGATAAATGCTCTTTAATTAGGATAATTTCAAAAAATTTAGGAAATTTGTGCTGAAAAGTTGGCAATGAATAATAACTTTCCACCTGAGCTAGAAACTGCTAATGTAGTTTGCTTGGCCTAACCGATACTTGTGTATCTACACGTGCTTTCGCCTTATAGTTTTGCTGTTTTAAATCAACTTAAATCCGATACTTTTAGGTGGAGCAGTAGGAAAAATTTTAGACTTATATCTAACGTGACCTTTTGCTTAGGTGTGTGCTAACATTTTTGTCAATATTTAACGGCTTTTGGACCCGTTCCAAACTATAATCAGTACAGGACAAGTTAAGTAACAATGAAACGAAAAGCTGTTTAGCAATTGTAAGTTTTCATTTGACCTTAGTACTTACGTGTCACTGTAGCCCATATGGTACATAAATTGCGTTTCATATCAATACTGACCTTTAAACCTTCACCCTTCTAACACACTTAAAGAAACAACAAACCATACTGACCCTTCAAACTTAACTAGGCCAAACGAGAGATTTCATGTAATAGCTTTAACTCAGAATATCAAGCCAAAGTATATACAAAACATTTTTATTAACGGCAACCACCTAGAATCGAATGCATCAATTGAACTAATGCTGCCATCTAGTGATTATTTATTTATATAGGCTTAGCGGAAAAGAAAAACCATATATTAACAATACCAAAGAAAGAATGTTTTTATCTAAATTCCCTTTTCAGTTGAAATATTTTTTTCATTTAGTTTTCTTCATTAGGTGTTGTTTCAACGTTTCATTTTACCAAACATTGCGTGCTTAACAACATTTAAATTTCAGTAAATAAACTTAGTATTCCGAAAATTGTTTAATGTCGATGTCCAAGTTCAAGAAAGATCCAGTTCAGTCTAGACTTTGACCAACGTCTCTTATTGAGTTTTGGAGAATTCCACTTCTCATCAGTAACCCTGAACCCTAGTTAACCAAAGATAGATAAGCTGGACCTATATCATAGTAGAAAGTATCAAACATACTAATGGTATGAACTTGATTTGTATTCACATTATATAGCCGCACAATAGCAGATGTAATAAATAAGCTTAGTATTCCGAAATTTGTTTAATTTCGAAATTTAAGTGTATGTTTGATTTCAAATTCAAAGTGCGTTTCATAAACACACAATTTTATAAAAATAAATAGTTATTTATTTAGATATACTTTGTTACATACTGCAATATACATAATATAAAAACTTTAAACAAAAAACTTAAATACTACAGTTACTTTAGCATCACACATTTGAAAAAAAAAAATGATTTTCAATTTTTTATCTTAAAAACATTCAAAAAGAGGAAATACAACTCCCACTCGAGAAATCTAAATCTTTTATTTTATAAGAATGAGTAAAAAATTCTGCATAATATGGAAAAAACAGAGATGGAGTGACTTATTTCTCGTTTGATTGGTATAAAGAAGATACTCTGAACCGTAACGATAGAGTTAGCACTTATCTGACAATATTTTGTTTTTCCCCTAAACCTCGTGCTGCTACACGTTTTCTTGGGTGAATGCAGCCACCTAGTTATTAACAAGTTCATTTATCTAAAGATCGAATCTGGCGCAATAGAAATATCTCCTGTTTAGGTGGGTTTTAAATTAACATATCAAGTATACAAACTATCGTATCTTAGCCCTATTTCTAATTTATTTAATGAAAGAAAAAATTCAGCTAGCAGACGTAACTATTATTTTTTTATTTAACAATTTTGAACCCAAAAAAATTGAAACTAAAAACAACAATACAGTCTTGAGATGTTTTCCCACTAATGTAATTAAGTCTTATTTTTATAGTATTACTTTGCCAGATATTAACCAATCTATCTTTTTCAGGATTACTGACTGGGGTTCTTCTCCAACACTTCTCAGCCCGGACAGTAACATTGACTGGTGTAATAGCGGCATCTAGTGGTGTTGTTCTTTGTTTCGTAGCCAGTAACATGACGTATGTCACGGTCTTTATTGGAGTGATCTACGGTAAAACAAATATCTCGACCCTTCTAGAATTATTGTATCATTCGAACATCAAAATATAATAAGTATTGATATGATCAAAGAAAAAAACACAAATAAACAAATTTAATTTAACAGAAATAAAGCAATTATTGTATTTTGGCACTTGTGTATAAAGTCAAAATTATAAATAATATTCAACGTTAAAACTGGTACACAATTAAAAACATTTTATTTAGGCCTATCTATGGCCTTCAAAAAGTTCACGACTCTACATGTTTCGTCAACTTTTTGAAGGCCATAGATAGGCCTAAATAAAATGTTTTTAATTGTGTAC